GCCGCCGGTGGCGGTGAGAGCGAGGAGGGTGAGGACGTGTTCGAGGTGGAGAAGATCCTGGACGTGAAGACCGAGGGGGTGAGTGGGTCTCTCCTCGCCTCAGAGCGGCCCCCAGCGCGGCGGGGCGCCCCGCTGCACGGGGGACGGTGTTTCGGGCTGCTCCTGTGCGCGGCCCTGCTTCCGTGCAGGGGAAACGCCGAGCTCCAGCGCCCTGAGATGTGCAGCTCGGAGCAGCAGTGCTGCAGAGAAGCTCTTCTTCCTTCCTGCTATTCCTTCAGTTAATGCAAGATGTATCTGGAATATCCCGCCAGCTTTCCCCTTTTCCTTGTTCTTTTTCTGCCTAGCCTGTACCTGTGTTTCAGTGTGAATTTGGAGTGCTGTAATGTGCAGGACCGAGTATGACAGAGAACCTGAAGGAGCTTCAGAGTGCGGTCACTGAGAAACGCGACCAGTGCATCAAGTGTTCCGAGCAGAGGGGCTTAGTGAAGATAGCTGTACATAGTGCCCCTCTCATCTTTGTTTAGAGAGAAAGGTCGTGTGCTCTTTCTCTGAAAACAGCCTGCGTTGTTTGAAGTCTAAAATTTCATAAATTAAAAAAAAAAAAAAAACGCAGCTCTCTTAACTTGCAAGCATAGATTTGTTATTTCAACTAATCTGTAAGTTTGGCTTTAGGCTTCAGTCAAACATGTAATGTGTCAGAATTTTGAAACCCTTAGATCAGAGGTTGTTTGGACCAAGAATTCTTTAATGTCCGTGATGCTGCCCCAGTTAGATTGTGTCTTGATTTCTCATGCGTTTTATACTTCAGAGACAATGTTTGTAGTTTTGTCTGTGAGAATCATAGGTCCAAATAGTGAGTCAGGCTTAAATATGAGTGCCTTTCCCTTGCGAGGATGGAATGCAAAAGTTGTGTATCAGCGGCTTGTAGCACTCCACATGTTTCTGAAGAATATCAGTGTGTAAATGAATTACAGTCCTTTCTTTTTAAAATAAAATAAAAAAAAAGCCAAGTTTGGTGCACTTTGCCCACCCCTGTTTTGTGGCTCCTGCGTATTCAGAAGCAGGTTCTGAGTTAAATGAACCGTTGAGGGTGCTGCTTAAGGCAGTTGGCAACGAAAGTTTGGGAATGCTTTTTTTACATACTTAGAAAGCTGCTTCTGCTGTTCAAAAATTCTTCAGAAATAGCATGTCCAAGACAAATTATGGCATAACCTATAAGCAGGTAACTTGCTCTGTAATTACGTGGTGATAGCCCTTTCCATAAGAATTGGGTTTGGCCTGTGACTAAGTCTCAGAGAAGCTGCGCTAGTATAAAAACACTTGAAAATATTCAATTATTTGTTAATAACAGAACAAATAATAATGCGAGTAAAATAATTCTGGCAGATGAGTGAAAGTCTCTACGTCTTTAATATGATGAACATCATCTCTTGCCTTGATTTAATTCATTTTGATATATTGTTTAAGCATGTACTGAACCCAGAGCTGTTCAGCAGCTGAATAGTCTCACTTTCGTTTCTTAAACATAGTGTAAACTTAAAGAGTTGTATTTACATTCCAGTGAACGTGTTAAGTTCCCCACGAACAAGTTAATGTAGTGTAAGTCAGCAGGGTTTGCAGCAGAGAAGTTTTTGCAGATGCATCCATGGGTATAGCCAGCAGATCAAGGGAAATGTGTTTTTCTCCTCTGCTCGGTGCTAGTGGGGTGACGTCTGGAGAGCTGTGCCCAGTTTTTGTGTCTCCAGGACAGGCATGGACCTGCTGGAGTGGGTCCAGCAAAGGAGATAAGGGGCCTGGAGCCCAGGAGGTGCAAGGAGAGGTTGAGAGCTGCGTTTCTTCTCCTTGGGAGATGGAGTCAGAGTCGTAGCCCTGTCTGCCCCACTCGGGGCAGGGCGTGAGCAGATGGGGTCAGAGCCATCGCGGAGGTGCCCAGCAAAAGGGGAAGAGGCAGCAGACGCCAGCTGCAGTGCGGGGAAATGGATTAAATACAAGGAAGAAATCTCTTGCTGTGAGGATGGCGGTGAGATGGAGTGTAGTAAGGGGACTCCCAATTGCTTCTTTGATGAGGGACCACATTAAAATAAGGAAAGGGAGACAGATGAAAGTGATTTTGAAAGCACATTCCTGAATCAGAGGTATATTGCTAAGCTAAATAGCAAGAGGAGAAGCCTGCTACTGTGTGTGAATATTAGCTACTATCTAAGTGACTGTGAATCAAAATACTGATAAAGAGTATAACCAGTTTTGCTCCCTGAAGTCGAGTAGCACATATATCATATGCATATAACCTTGGAAAATGGTTAATGATAATCTGGCAAAAATGTAAAGTTGTAGAAATATATTTAATAGTAAGTGGTAAATGGCAGATCTTCTGAAGATTCTTTTCTCCAAGCTTGATTAACAACGTAGGATCTTGGGAGCATTGCCAGTCTGTTCCTGAAATAACAGACAGGTGGTTAGAGGTGTTTTCCTTAGCACCTATGCTGAGTCGAGACTTCCTTTCATTACTGCTGTTTTGCCTCTCCAGAGGTGTTTTCCTTAGTACCTATGCTGAGTCGAGACTTCCTTTCAGAAAATAAGTTTTGTCATCATGTTGCCTGGTACTCAGTATGTGTTTAAGGAAGGCGGATTTTGTTAGGGTTGGTGCTGGTTCTAGTCCTCCCCGCAGGTTCAGTCAATCAGGATGGCCAGGCCGATCTTGTAGGACATGACTGTGCTTTGCAGTGAAGCCTCGTGTGGGAGGTGAGAGCTGCCACTTGTGTGGCTGTGTGAGCATTAGGCCCGAGCCCAAGCTCAGGAGGAAAAAGCGTCTGGCCTGAGAGACTGAAGGATTCAGACTACCAAATTTATTGAGGAGAAGGGCAAGAGGTGATTTGGTGGAAAGTTTTGGGCTTTAATTTCTTTTGTTTTGTTTTTAATAGTAAAAAGCTTTCCAAACTAAGGAGGGGAAAAAAAAAAAACTTAGAAGATAGAGACTAAGCTCTTTATTCTTACTATAGTGAGGTTAAATACCATTGAAACAATTGGCTGAGGGCTATGGTATGTAATCTTTACCGAAATCTTTAAGAACAGCCCTGCTGAAACACAGAAGCTCAGGTTTTGTCTCAATATAATTGACTCTTTTTTTTTTTTTTCCCTCATTATTGTTGATATTTTAGTCTATGAAGAACTGCATAGATCTAGCCCAAGTTATAAATTCCAATATAAAATCAGGTGAATGGTGTTATTGCATTTTTGATCTTCACATTTTGGTAACTTTTTCAGCAAAAAGGAGCAATTTAACCTTGAAATTTTTATAGCTGTTATATTAAAAGATAAAAATATAGTAATATTTAGTTTTGTAGCTGTCAGAAAATCTATTTTTGTAAAATAATTGGGATTATGTGATCTTTTTACTTTGTTGCTTTTATGAAGAAATTTTAGGTACTCATACTTCCTGGATAAAATCACTCTGACTTCTGAAATTTTTAAACATTTTAACTAATTCAGTTAGTAGTAGCTCAGTACTAATTCAGTACATGACAACTTTTTCAATTATTTCCATGATCATCATGTCAATTGCAGGCTGAACTTCCATTAAAAGTCATACACGCACAATTTCTATATATATACATGTGTATATATGATTTGTAGGTATGAATTGTTTCTTCTGTTTTATCATTGTCATTTTTACAGGGTAAAATTCTCTACAAAGTACGGTGGAAAGGATACACCTCTGACGATGATACCTGGGAACCAGAGATTCATTTGGAAGACTGCAAAGAAGTGCTGCTTGAATTCAGAAAGAAAATTGTGGACAATAAGCCCAAACCTATTAAAAAAGACATCCAGGTATGTTTCACCTTTGGTACTGTGTCTTGAAGACATCTTCTCTTTGGGGAAGACTTTGGTGTGAGGGGGAGGGTGATAGAGAGAGGGATAAAGAAAGGCATTGTGTATGAAATTAAGCAAAATGTGAAGAATCTCCTCAGTTGGAAACTGTTTAGTGCTTCAGGTGAAACTGAACATGGCTGCAATTGTATGTTTAGGGAATTGGTTTGAACTGATGAGTTTGCTTGTACTCTATAAATCCATTTCACCTGTATGCCAGTTTTTAATGGGACAGTGTAAATGTAATTTTAATATGGGACCATGTAAATAATACATGATCATTGCAATTAGTGAAATAATGAGGCAAAAATAAAGGACGAAAATTTATTTGCAAGAAGAATGGCATGTACCCTTTTGAAAACTGTCTGATTAGCTTCAAAATCATGATAAAGAATTTTTTTGTAAACTTGGAGCCTCTTGAGAAAGCTGTAGATGTATTTTGCAAAAATCAGGTCAACTTGATGTAGAAGAGTGAGGCTGAGTTCTGTTCTGGCCCTGCTGGGTGTCTGGTTTAGCTGTTTGTGTAGATTCTGTTCCAAGCAGTTAGTAATGTGATTTAGGTAAAGGAAACAGAATTGTAACATTCATGAATGTTACAATTTAGCAATGAGGAATAAGACTCGCAGCGTTTAAGGAGGATTATTTTTTCTCTTCACCATCACTAGCTATAATCTTTTTGGGTTTCAGCTTTGTATAGTTTGTGCCTACATTATTCAGCTTAAAGAGTTTTTTTTTTTTTTTTACTGTTATTTCTCTTTTTTTTCCTTGCATTATAGAAACTTTCTCTAAGTGATGATGTATTTGAAGCAGAATCGGACAGTGACTGGCAAAGTGAAACAAAAGAAGATATTTCACCAAAGAAGAAAAAGAAAAAGTCAAAAAATGGAGAGGATAAAAGCCTAGATAAGCTGAGGAAGAAAAAGTCTAAGTCTGCAAAACTCAAAGAAAAACCCAAAATAGAACGTGAGAATTCTTCAGATAGTTTGGTTTCAGATTCAAAACCAAAAAAAAGAACTTTGGAAACCAGGGAGGATTCCAGGGAGGATTCAAAAGATCCAAAGAAACAAAAGAAAGAAGATACTAAAGAAGTAAAGAAAAAGAAGGGAGAATCTAAAGATTTAAAAGTCAAATCTAAAGAAGACTCTAAAGAAAATAAAAGATCACGGAAGGAGAAGCAGGGAGACCTTCAGTTTGACTCAGAATCAAGCACTTTAGATGATGCATTTTCTCAAGGAGCTGATATTGAAAATTCAGACTTACATTCTGAAAACAAAGAAGAAAAGCAAAAGGTAAGAAGCAGAAGGGAGAGGTTGGGACAAGAAATTGCTGAAAAAGATTCAATTTCTGATAGGCATCCTGATGGATCAATTAGTAATGAAGATGATAGTATTGAAGTTAAGGTTAAAAGAAAGAAGAAAAAAATTCAGAAAGTTGAAGATTATAAAGAGGAAGGTAGAAAATCAGAGAACTATTTAGAGAAGAAAAGCATACACAAAAGGCAAAGAAGTCAAGAGAAAATAAAAGTAGACACTGCAGATTTGGAAAAAGTGTCACCTGTACCAGTGCAGAAGGGTTTAAAATCGAGCACTGATGAAAGAGGCCGCAAGTCAACTGATTCAGCAGGGGAGGTAAGCAGTGTGGAAGCACTGGGATGCGGGGAGGAGAGGAGGCTGCTTAGGTCAGGCAGGTATTTGAGGGACATAAATGCTTCAAAAGGCCACTTTTTCTGGTGGTAAAGAGAAAAATACAAATTGGGAGACTTAGGAGAAAGGTAAAAGAAAGGCAAGGCCCACTGCAGAATTTGAGACACGCTGAAAATTTCTGGATTCTGAATGCTATAAAGGACGAAGCAACTTGGAGTGTCTTAAATGTAATCTGGATGGAGAAGGTGTGGAAGAATAGAGGCAAGTTATTGAAGGTAATCTTAAAGTGGTATTCCAGAATTAACAAGCTTGTATATAACCATTTTTTTTTTTTGAGTAACCGGAAAAGCAAGAGGTTTCTCCTACTTGTTATATTTACTTAAAATGCAATTTACTGGTTCTGCAAATACGTGCTGTTACTTTTAGCCTCGTCTCCCCTGCCTCCAACCATTGCTTCACTTTGACTTCCTTCTGCTTGTGTAGTCGGCGTGTAGGGCAAGGCGTTCGCTCTGCTGGATCTAGCGCTGCGCAGGGAAGTGCCCTTCTGAGCTGACGTGGGCACCTGGCCTGTCTCAAAAACCTGCCATGCAGCTAGCACCTACCTAGGAAATGGGATACTGAAATGGCTCCCAAATCCGCGTCTCCTAGGAAGTTCCGTGGGTGGCTCTTCTTGCCAGAATCTGTGGTGTGTGTGTCAAGGAAGGAAAAAAAAAAGTGCTTAGTTTAATGACTTGATTCTATGTTCATTACAAATGCTTTTCTGGATCTATAAAATGAGCTGATCGGTGACTAAAATACTTTTCTTCATTGGGTGCACTATTGTTTTCAAAAAAGCAGGTTGGTAAAAGAAAAGAAAGTGTAAATATGGAAAAGTTAAAGCAGTATTTCTAAAATATTTCTGAGAAAAATACTTGTGAGTGTTTTTTCAGCTGCTTGTAAATACTCTAACACAGTTTGCATATGCTACAATTTTGTTGGCTGCACAAAGGAAACCACTTTATGATTTATAACAGGATCGCAGCCAAAATCCCTTGAAACCCACTGGATTATGTGCTGCTTTGCCTGAGGTCATAATTCCGTGGCAGCGTGTGTCTTATTTCTTTAAGCTTGGCTGTGGTCCTCTGTTTAAGACTGAACGTATGGAGTAGCCCACCTTAAATTGGCCTCGTTAAGCGTGAGCAAATTGTTTTTTGGATAGAGAAATGTTGCGTGGAGCTATTTCAGTGTAGAGCTACATAAAATGATGGAACTTGGGGTGAAAGCTCTTGTAAAAAAAAAAAAAAGGTTAAGCATAGCTATGAGGCACAGCTGTGTTTCAAAAAGTTATCTAAATAATTCTCTCTATTAATGTTATGGCCCTTTCTTATTCCAAGTATTTTTTGTTATGGTCTGAGGCCATAACTTCCTTAGAAACATAAATCAGTGATGATAATCAGACAAATCTTTGGAGTTTTATTTGATTTACCAGTGAAATAAAAATCCCATCTTCACAAATATGAAGAAAACAGATGAAAAGGTGTCTGCTTTTAGCTTTTGAGTAAGCTGCATTCCTGGAGCTCTTGTGGATTGGAGATACCAGGGAGGCAGAAGACAGTCTTAAGTCTGCCCTTTGTTTTGAGTCTCCTGCAGAAACCAAGCCAAGTTTTCTGTGCCTGGTTAGTTAATACTCAGAATAGCTGTGGATCCGTTCTGGTGGTGGGTTTCATTTGTTGGGTTTTTTTTTTGTTGGTTTTGTGTTTTGTTAAGTTATTGTCCCAAATGCATTACTACTTCCAAGTTTTGTAATTTCATGTGTTTCAAATACCTGTCCTTCCTTTGGTGACTACAGAGCACTGTCAGGACAGTTCGTAATACAACATTCTCTGTTTGGAATCCTCCTTTATGTTGATGTTTCCCCTTGTTTTGGCTCCAGAAATAAACATGTGGGGCACATTTTGAATCCAATCAATATCTAAAGTCTGGAATAGAAAATTACTGTTTTTAACAGCTCTTCTGTTTAGTAAATATCTGGTAATCCCTTTAGTGAATTTCTATCTCTTCCTGATTACTGAGCATCAGCAGGGAATAACAGCTACTAGTTAACAATGTTGGTGATCAGAAGCTGCACTTTTGGATAGGAAGCGGGGACCAGGATTAAATGTCACAGCTCTGCTAACACATTATGCCATATTAAATTCTTCCTTTTTGATTCAAACTTGTCCTGTGTTTAGAAAAATCGTAACATTTAATACAAATTCATGGTCCAAGGGTGTTGTGGGAGGTTATTTGTGAGGGGTTTCCAAAGCACATGCGATTCCACATAGCAGATAGTGTCAAGCTGACACAAAACCCTGTGCCACTTACTCTGCAGTTCAGAATTTGCCAGCTAAATAAAGAAAAAGGATTATAGGAGGAGAAAGGAAGCCTTTGGCGTAGGATTTGTTGGATTTGATTATCCCCACGTCTGCCATGAAGTTCTTCCTGATGCAGGATATTGCTACACTCAGTCTGTTGTTTTGTTTTGTTTTGGGTTTTTTTTTGGTGGGGGAGGAGCAGATTTTGTCTGCCTGTCCCTTTTTAACAAATTACTGTTGCTGTAATTTTCTGCTTGTATCTGCTGGGACACCTAGACACTTGTATGTACAAATACAGTTTTCTCCGTTACGACCGAAGTTGATGCTGTTGTACCTGCCTTGACTACAATGCTGCAAAGATGCTAAATACTTTTAAATAATTCTATTCTATTCAGGTTATACATTCAGAACAAATAAAAATTTTGTATTATTGAATTTTCTTTTAGTAAATAAATACTTGAAGCCACTTAAATATTTCACATATTTATTGATGTTTCCTTAACTGAAATCCCATCTTAACAAGGCTACAAATTATCTTGGTTATAATAGACAGAATGCCTTTAACAATATTAGTTTCTACCTGCTAACTATTGACATAGGAAGCTGCAACTAACCTTAAAGACCCACAGTGTTAAATAGGTTTCCTGTTGGTTTTTGTCTTTGCAGGCTTTTTGATACCAGATTGCCAAGTTGCAATATAGTCTTAATTTTAAATATAACTGCTTTTGGCATATCTGCATGTCATGCTGTAAAGTACCTTGCATGACTGGGGTGTTGTAAAAGAAAGAATTGAAGATCTATCCTTTTATTTTAGAAATGGCATCTGCTCTCTAACTTCAGAAGCTGTCGCAGAAAAATTCCACTGTCACCAGTTTAGTTTTGCGGAAAGTTCACAAGTGTGTTACGTACAGTTTTGAGTAGTACCGATTCCAAGTACATGGCCTCATTTGAGTAGTGAAAGGAGGTTCTTTCTAATTTTCTCTCTACCGGTTTAATCTTTTTACTTTTTCAATGACAGGAGAAAGAAGTAAAGAAAAATGAAACAAAAGAAAAATCCCAGAAAAGAGAATCTGAGAAAGAAGAAAAGAGCAGAAGAGAACAGAAGGGCCTAAAAAGTAAGTGCTAATTGCTTAAAAGAGAGAAGGGAATGACCATTCAGTATATATTCCTCTTGCTTCCCCAAGAGCACAATAGTTATGTTTCTGTAACAGTCATCAGAAAGAACAATTTTTGCTTGTATTTCTAGGAAGCAAGTCTCTAATGGCTTCTTGATCTATGAGTGAATGAAACATGGAGGCTTTCTATACATAGAAATCTCTAGGAGTTTGTAGACAAACTCAAGATTTTTTTCCATTTCATATTGTCACCTATGCTTTCATATTATGGTGGTAATATTAATCTTTTTGGAGGAATTCATATAACGTTTTAGTGTTTTGATAATACTCTTAATGTGTGCTTGGTATGTTTAGAGAAAGTAACTTCCCTTGAGACAGCTTGCTTGGCCTCTTGTGTTAGCTGTGAGAACCTTACAATATCACAAAAACAAGATGCTTTGAAACATGAAGAAAAATGCCTAAGTTTAATGCATTTACTCCCATTTTTAGCCATATAATAGACTTTTAATGGTACTACCTCTGATCTCAGTAAAATTTTGTGTCATTTTATTCAGGGTAAGTTTTCTCACTGCTCTCACAATGGGTGGGGGGAAAGTAGGTAATTGCCTCTGCTTATGAATGGATGTAGGAGGAACTATGGCATGTGAAAGAGAAACATCTTTTGAGATATTTACAATGCTTAGAAAAATTGACAATTTGTTAATTTTAACAAAAATTAATTAAAAATTAATAATTATTCTTCAAGACTTAGCCTGTGGCCTTTGTACATTTATCAGAAATATGGAATGATTTTCAAAGTAGTAATTTATGCATAATTCTAAATATATTTTTTCTTTTAAAGATGATACTGGGTTCAAAGCAATGCACTCAAGCTAGCCAAAAGTGAGCTAGTTCTCCCTAGTTTTGGTTTAAGCTGTGACATTTACTGCTGTGCTTAAATAGTGATGGACTTCTTCAAAGGGAATAGATTTTTTTTTTTTTTTTAAACTTGACTCTGGTTCATTTATGCGGCCTTTTTATGTAATAGAGACTCAAATAATCCCTCTTGGTATCTGTCTTTAAACTATATTCTAGGCTATAAGGACATCAAAAATGCATTTGACTTGTTCAATGTAGCTTCAGAAGAAAAAAATGAATATTCTGAGAATAACCGTAAAAGAGAAGAATCTTGTCTGGACTATAAAATTGTGGAAGAATTAAAATCAAAAGACAGCAAGGTGTACAAGGAAAGGAGGAGTGTGAGAGATGAGACAGATACGTGGACCTACATTGCTGCAGAAGGGGATCGAGAAGTAATGGATGTGTGTCAGGTGGAGGAGAGCCCTGGTGAGCAGTACAAACAAATCAGGAGAAAGCCGAGCACTTGCATTCATTTTTATTTTATTTTTTTCCCTTCTGTTAGGGAAAAAAATAAAATAAAAATGCATCTTTTAGTGCTGAAATCCATGTTTTCCAGGAGGCTAAAACAATGTTTTATTAAAAAAAAAAAATAAAATAAAACTCTGATAATCTTCCTGAGTATGCAGCATGCTTGTGCTGTTGCAGAAGTTGAGTATTCCACGTGTGAACACTTTAGCCTGATTGCTTAGACCAAATGAATGGTGGTGGTGGTAAAAACTTATGTTGGCAGTAGCAGCCAGTGGTGACTTGTGTTACTTAAACTCATGTTTTATATCTGTAATGTGGCCTTCAGTGTTGGGAGCGGTTCCCTAACAGTTGTGTTCAGAGTGGGCTTGAATGAGGGGAAAAGAAATGTATGTTGTACTGCTGATTGATGAAGGAATGGCGAGAAGTGAATGAGTTGACAATTCAGTAGTTAGTTGATACTCATTTTCTGGTTTTCTTCCATAAAATCCAATATATGATAGATGGCAAGCAACAAGTCTTGAGTTTGGGTATGGACATGCAGTTGGAATGGCTGACACTCGAAGACTTTCAGAAACACCTTGACGGAGAAGATGAGAATCTTATCTCTACAGAACCAATATCAAGTAGTGAGTAGTTGCTGGGAAGAAGGAACATTTCTTATCTGACATTTTAAAGAGAAATATCCTATATCTGCATTAAACTTATATTACAGCTCTCCTGAGGGATGCAGTTAAAAATGGAGATTATATGACAGTGAAGATGGCACTTTCTTCAAATGAAGAGTATAATCTGGATCAAGAGGTAATTGTTCTGAGGGAAGGGAAATTATATTGGGGAAAAAAAAATAGAACGATTTTCTGAAAGCTTTTCCCTGTCTCTCTTGCAAGGAGCAGTTTTCTGTCTGCTCTGGTGAATGTAAGCACAAGAGAAGGCAGTGTAGAATTTGAAGCTTTGATATTTGTTCCCTATTTCTTCTAAAGAAAAGTAAATCTTTTCAGAAGTATTTTGGTAGTTTGATCAGGAACAGACTTGTCTGCTAGATTTATTTGAATATTAAATGTAAAACTATTTGTGCTGTGAGGTAGGCTGAAATCTGGCAGGTCAGATGGCTAAAATATAAAAATACGTATTCAAGCAAGCAAAAACAAAATGTTCAGTGTGGCTGGTTTGGACTGCTTCACTCCCATCGGAAATCTGTTTTCTGACAGTTCTTCATTTCAGCTGTGCTCTAATTGGTTGTTGTTGTTGTTGTTTGTTTTTCTTTCAAAGATCTTTTGAGATCTTTCCAAAGGAAATTTTGAAAATTTAAATCTTACGCTAATGTGTTTTTTTTGTTGTTGTTTTTTTTTTTTTAAATTGGTGATCTTGTTTACTTGTATTGTGTAACATTCTCGCCATAAATTATGCTAAAATTTCTGCTGAGTAGTAGAAAAGGTGATGCCAGGTGAAGGACTGAAGTAAGAGTGCAGGTTTTGGACTGTAGCATCTAGTGGAAAATGAAGAGTGATTAAGACTGGCCACTCAGAGAGGTCTCTCCATATTTATGCTTAGAGTAAATCTGAAAGCACCTTTGTGGTAGTAGCTGGCATAACCACAACCAAAACAGAGTAAAATATTTTAGTTTTGAATTCAGAGTAGCTAAATAGAAGTCTTTTTCGGTTTTAAATAAATTTGAGCTATCATCTTTGTTAGGATCAAGAAATTGAGACATTTTTATGGGGTTTTAGTTTGTTGTCTTGGACTATTGCCAGTTCTTTTAGAGTGTTGTGGTTTTCTTCTGTGTTGTGGCTCTGTTTCTGAGTTTATTAGGTAAAGCAAAGGCTACAGAGCTCCCAGTAGGGCCTGTGGAAGAAGAGAAGTAGGAGCTGATAGACTGTCAGTGTCTTGTAATTACTCTTCTGTGAATCTTCCTGTAGGGGAGGAGGATGCTTGTTTGTTTTCTGCTGAAATCTCTTGACACATCTGCAATTTGTTCTGCAGTTTTGCTTTATGACAATTGTTGTTGCAGGACTCCAGTGGAATGACCCTGGTAATGCTTGCTGCTGCAGGGGGGCATGATGACCTTCTCCGGGTCCTCATCAGGAAAGGAGCTAAAGTGAATGGCAGACAGAAAAATGGAACAACTGCATTGATACATGCAGCTGAAAAGGTCAGTTTCTTTGTCATATTTTTAGTACTGGTCTCCTATATTTACATTTAAAAGTGGTATTGAATTTAGATCCCTCTCCTCCACACTCTCTCTCTCCCGTCATTTGGCTCTGTCTAAAATGTAGGCAACTAGACACAGCACGACAATGTAAACTACATATTTCAGAGGGCCATGGTGACTGTAGCGTGTAATTAAAGAAATACATAAAAAATTAGAGCTGCCTTGTAGGTGATCCCCAGGCCTTGCCCCGAGGAAAGAATATCATAGCTAAAAGGAGAATTGAGGTAAATCTTATTTATGCCTATCCTGAGTGATGAAAGTCCTTGAAAATGTTTATTATATTCTCTGGCTACATGAGAGCTGAACTGATTAGAATAAATCTCTGATTTTAATCTCTGAATTTAATACTTGAGAGTTAGGAGGACAGATAGTGGCCAGTCCTTCTCAAATTAAGACTAACTCGACCACAGAGTCAATGATGGTTTGCGGAGTGAGCTTTTGTTGTTGAAATTGGTTCATTTCTTCATATGATTACAGGAAGCAAAAGGCCAAAAGCAAGCTTGATTGCAGCTCATTTAATAGACAAACCTACTTTTTTTTTCTTTTTTTTTTTTCCATTCTGTAATAGGAAATACCCAGGAAAAAACAGATGCTGCAGGCCTACCTACTTGCCTGAGTATAAATTGTTCTTCACGAGCAGTAGAGAACAGTCTTAATTGTGTCATGCTTCATGTTTTGCCTTTTACTGATTTTTTTTTTTATAGTCTGAAACCAAAAATAAGTATTCTGTACTTACTTATGGTTTTGTTTTTAAGAACTTTCTAACCACAGTAGCTATTCTTCTGGAAGCTGGAGCATTTGTGAACATGCAGCAGAGCAGTGGTGAAACTGCCTTAATGAAGGTAAAGTCAGAATTTGTCCTCATGTGGTTTAATAATAAATGATGCTTAATGTTTGGTGAGCTAATTTTGGGGTTGAGGGCATAAGCATATTTCCAGAGTTGATTTAGTCAGGGAACATGGGGTACATTTGAAATAGAAAATGACTCTAGTTTTTCCATCCAGTGTATTAATCGATCCTTTATCATACTAATTTATATAAGTAGTGGAGTTGCATGCCATCAGCATAGTGTTACGTGGGGTTCGTTGTCCTCTTCCACTGCCTTCCATTTCCATTAAAAAGAAAAAAAACCTGTGTGTAGTCTTAAAATTGAGATGATCTGCTTGTAATCAGGAACACAAAAAACTCCAGAGGTAGCATCTCACCCGAGAGATGCTTTGATTGTAAATCGGATCTTTCGGAGATGCAGGGATGAAAAGACTCTTCTGTGTTTCCCCCGACACACACTAGAAAGAATAACAGTTTGTTTTGTTGTACTGGGAAAATTCAAAGAGTTTCAAAATAGTCTGTGCTCCTCTTGATAGTTTCCTATGTTTTGTGTAATTGATTAAAAAAAAAATTGCCCTTCCTGGTGGAGTTCTATTCATATAGAAGCTATTTAAGCAAATCTGCAGAAGAGCTTACAAATCTTCCCCCCACCCCCTCAAAATGGTACAATATTCTTTCTCCTCCCTCCTGCGAGGCTTAACAGGCACAGGGAATTCACATCTACTGTAAAGAAAAGTTCTGATAGGCGTGCAATTTCCTCAGTCACGTAACTCCCAGGTCTTTCAGAATTTGGCTACATCTCTGAACTTCATTTTTGAGCTTTGCAGTTTTTGAAGACCAGATTTTCATGTTTAATGCATGGTGACACATGTTGTCTCTGCCAGGCTGAACAATCATCATAGAATCATAGAATGCTTAAGGTTGGAAGGGACCTCTAGAGATCATCTAGTCCAACCCCCCTGCACACACAGGGTCACCTAGAGCACGTGGCACAGGACTGCGTCCAAGCAGGTTTGGAAGATCTCCAGAGAAGGAGACTGATAATTATTTTGCTGTAATGATGCTAAGAACCAGGACAAGTGTTAAATGTGTTTAGCAAGTCATTCTTATTAAAGCCTTATGTGTTGGATCTTTTAAAAGTTTTGACACTTTATTCTTTTCTATGAGGATTTTTAATTTGTTTTTACAATCATGGATGGAAAACACAGATGTAAGTTCAGGTTTGAAACAAAAGAATTAGATTTTTTTTTCTGTTGTGCCTTTTTCCATCTTCATGAGTACTTTCAGAAGATAAGTGGCCATTTGAATAAGCTATCTGAAGTGCCATCTCAAATTCCAACTCTGTTAGGTTTCAGAGGGCAAATACTTGAAAAAATCTTTCTGGCCAGTAACTAATTCTAGATTTTTTAAAAAAAAATAACTTCCACGATTCTGCTTTTTTCTACATTTTGGGTTTGCTTTAAAGGGGTGGTTGTTGTCCATCCTTACCTGTTCCACTCACTCTTTGCAGGCTTGTAAAAGAGGGAATTCTGATATTGTGCGGCTTATGATTGAAAGTGGAGCAGACTGTAACATTTTGTCCAAGCACCAGAACAACGCACTTCATTTTGCTAAGCAGTGTAATAATGTACTGGTGTATGAGCAGCTCAAGAGCCATTTGGAAACGTAAGTAAACTGCTTTTTGAGTTCTGTGTGTGTTTCGGTAAAGTTAGAAATATTGGACATATTGCAGTTAAATCACAAAGAGGGGCAGTATCAGAGAAGGACCCAGATATCCTTTGAGCAGAAAGCTAACTAATCAATGTGAAATAAGTGATGCGAATCAAAATGTGTGTGATTAATAAAAACATTCAGTAAGAAGGTAGAAAGGAGGAAATGAGAATCACTAGAAGTGAAAGACATTCATCAAACTAGAAATAAAGCAAGCGGGAAAACTTTAAAGTGCAGAGACAGAGGACAATTCAATGTAAATTCTCATTAGGAATATGCTAAATAAAGCAGCTTGCTTGAAAGCCTAAAATGCATGGGGACTTTTTTTTCCTTAAAGAAAATATTTATTCATTTAAAAAAAAAAAAGCAAGATAAGCAAGATCTGTGCAATATATGTAGCATGTGGAGTGTTTTTTTGTGATATGACCATGTAAAATACTGACTTACTAATTTAGATGCCAAAGGGAGACAGAAATAGATGCAAGGAGAAAGTAAGCTGCTCTCTAAATAGTAATTTAAAAGTATACTGAAGAGTTAACCCTTTAGGTCAGAAAAATCTTAACCAACAGTCTAAAAGCTTGAATGAAGTTGGCTAAAATTTAAAGCTATTTTTAGAACTTCCTTATGAAAGGCTTGTTGGGTGCCAGAGGATTGCTGTCCCGTTACAGGATCCTTTGTTGGTTTATGATGATTTTGTCTGGATGATTCATCTATATAATGTAAGGTAATATCTAACAGGTAGCTTATAAGTCAAGCTTATTTGAACTATTTTGGTCTACAGAAGTTCTTGACTGACTTCTGTCTCTTATCTAATGTTTCCCCATCAACTAGATTTTTAGAATCTGTCCTTACAGAAACTCTGTGTCATGGTTGCCAGTACTTGCACAGCCTGTTCCTGCCTGGCCTCTGCACAGAGCAATGCTCAGGGAGACCTTTCTCTGTAACTAGTTTTCCAAGCTCACGACTAGGGAGAAGTTTTGGAATTTGGAAACCTGGATTTTTTTTTTTCTTGTTCGTAGGATGGTTTTGTGTTTTAGCAACAAGCTAGACAAATTTCACAAACAGATCACTGATAAAATGCTTTATTAACTGAAAATAGTCTCAGGCCCTGGGGGTCATCTGTGTGTGAATGCTAGCGATGAGGGCCCTGTCCCTTGAAAGGGGGAGGCTGGAACGCGGAACCGGGAATTTTGCGTGGGCGCTCGGGTCGGTGTGTGGTAACGAGCTGCTGCTGCCTGGGCCCGCGGCTGGGGAGCCGTTGTTGGGCGCCGCGTGCGGCGCGCGGCCTCCCTGCTGTGCCCCAGGCTGTCGCGCGTGGCCGAGGACACCATCCGGGAGTACTTCGAGGCGCGTCTCGCCCTGCTGGAGCCCGTCTTCCCCATCGCCTGCCACCGTCTCTGTGAGGGACCAGACTTCTCCACGGATTTTAACTATAGACCACCACAAAATGTGCCAGAAGGTAATTTAAAAAACACTGTCTGCTTTCCAAGTACTTCTGTATTAAGGGTGTTTAACTGTTCTGTTAAGAGCACGTGCAGGCCCTGCCTGCTGCTCTCCTGGAGCTTGGCCAGGGGCAGCCAGACGGCTCTGAGGCCCAAACCAGGGTGGGCTGCTTTGGGGCTGGTTGGCTCTGCCCTTCAGCCCTGCGAAGAGCTCAGGGTTGTGTTTGAGGCATTGGGGAACGTTTCTCATCCTGTCAGGCACAAGTCCAGCTCCTGGCTCCACCTTGGGCTTTTTTTCACCTTTTGTGTATATTGGGGAAGGGGTCAGTATCTGCTGGTGCTGACTTTCTCTGAATAGTACATTATTCTGACCAAAGTGCTTTGTAAACATTGTAAGTGGTTGTGTTAATTCCAGGTCCCAAATAAAGAATGTATTACAGAATTAAGAAAGATAGTATTTGTTCATGTGTTAAAAGAGAAACTCGAGGTATGTGAGGGTGTTGAAAGTTCTTACTCATTACATTTCACTGCAGTTCCCAAAAATCTGTAATTGTTTAGATTCAGTTTCCCTTCCTAAGAGAAAAGACACCCCAGACTGCATTAAATTTCCCAGCTCTCTGCAGACAAACCTCAGAGCGGCGCTGAAGGACACGTGGCGCTCGCTTGCCGTCCCTGTCCTGCCTTTTCTTGTGGTAGCCCCACACAACTGCTGCTGCCAGAAGACCCGAACTCAGCGGCCAAGGCGGCTGCGTCTGGTGCTCGCGGCCCTCGGCCTGGGGCACAGCAGAGCTGGCAGTTCTGAACCGCAGTCCTGTGATGCAGCATTGAATTCAGTACTTATACTAAATATATATATATGTTTTTAAGATGCATCCAGTGTATTGCTGTTGCTGTGTGCAGTCCTGTGTAGCTTTTTTGGAGGGGAAAAAGTCTAGCTCATTGCGAACAACAGGAGGCTATAGTACCTGTGCAGAGTGTCTTAAAGTTTAGTGCACGCAGTTGTTTTAAATCCTGGGTCTTGTCCCAGGGCCATATCACCTAATTGTCTTCCCTTCCTTCCTTTCCAGGATCTGGAGTTCTTCTGTTTGTTTTCCATACAAATTTCTTTGGTAAAGAAGTGATCGCTCGGCTCTGTGGACCTTGCAGTGTACAAGCTGTGGTTTTAAACGATAAATTTCAGCTTCCTGTGTTTTTGGTAAATCTTTTCATATAACTAGTTGACTATAAACGGCTTTATAAAATCTTTACAGAAAAATCTGTGTGCTTTGAGATCCTTAATTGGGCTTTTGAGCAGTGTAATGCATCATTTGTTTATTGTGATTTGGCCTAGGGGTGCTACACAAAACTGAATTTTCCTTTATAGTTGGAGGGGAGCTGCAAGCCTTGCCCGTACTGGAGTCTATTAAAAATAAATTTGTCTTAGAAGGCAGGGACCTCAGAGTTCGGGGTTAGAGCAGACAGATAAGATTTCTGAGTTTAAAAGCTCTCTTAATCCCCAAATTCACCTAACCCCTCAAATTTTTGACTCAGGCTATCTCTACACTAAAGCACAAGTGCTTTGTATTGTTGAAACAAATTTTTCCCCACGTTTCCAATGACTCCCCCTGTTAAGAACATTGCTGTGCACACTCTGTCAAGTAGTCTTGTTTACCCTGTGGCTGCACTAAAGTGTCTCTGCAGCATTCAGGACTTCAAAAATGTATAGGTTGAATCTCGTGCCCTGTCATTAACCTGCTCCTTTTTCTTTTTCTTTTCAGGATAGTCACTTTCTTTATTCCTTCAGCCCTACTGCAGGCCTTAACAAGCTTTTTATACGGTTGGCAGACGCTCCTACTGCCAAGGTACCAGGCGCTCTCGGGACATGTGTGTGTTTGTTAGTGTGGGGCAGAGCCCCAAGGGCTTCTCGGCGTGTGGTGCGAGTGTGAAGGCACTGGGGACCCCTCATCCTCTCCCCAACCCTCTCTCCAGCGCTCACAGTTCCCACTGCGGCACAGCTGGAAGGCGGAGGGGGCTGAACCGAGGACTGTGTCGGTTCCCTCATAAGCATTTTCCTGCTGTAACGAGAGCCCAGATGAGCGACGCTGCAGTCTGAAGGATCTGCCTGCGGGGCAGGTGCTCGGGGCATCGTCTGGGCCCGTGCACAGGGCAGCGGGTGTGAGTCCCGCTCCGGCGCCAGCAGCATCGCACTGGGCTGGGCCCGGGGCCGCGGCTCCCAGCACGTCCTGTTCCACTAGCGATATCCGATCGCAGGACACAGGCCTGGGAAGCCTCTACATCTTCTAAATTCAGACTTCCTTTATTCTTATGTTCTCCACTAAGTATTATTTTTTGGAAAGTGTTCGCCAGCAGTAAATGTGCGCAGTTGGCTCCAGGTCAGGTTGGGAGTCAGCTGTTAAACACCTACCAACATAGCAATGTTTACCTGAATCTCTTTTACCCAAGACTGATCTTTTTTTTTTTCTTTTTTTCTTAAGTACAAACTGTGAGCAATCTTTGCTTGTCCAGTCCCTAGCACCTGTGTACATGTACCTTGTCTTGTCCTGGTCTTACACTGGCTGAGGTCTCGGTACTCGCACGAGGGAGCAGTTTTCACATGAACCCTTTGTTTGCTCTTGCAGGTGAAGCTGCTGATAGGAGCCTACAGAGTGCAGCTGCAGTGACCTCGAAGTTGTGACCGTGGGGAGGGCACTGGCCATTTGGACATCCTTCTGATTCCCGTTCAGGGACTGACAGAGCAGTTTGGAACTCCTTAGCACTGCACTTGGGACGAAGCTGCCACCTCGTCACCCCTTGGCAGAGCATCCCAATAGGCTGCCCTGGTGGGCAAGGCTGCCAGGGTTCCTGCTTGGGGTTACTTTGTACAGATGTAGGTGTAAGTATTTGTGCCAATACACATAATGCTGTTTAACTTGTGGAGTCCAGACTGCATATTTGAGCTTTTCCACAATGTGGAATGGTGCATATAATAACTATTTAAAGTAACTACACAAAATGTCTTTTTTTAATAGAAAGCCATTTTCCATTTGTAAACCAGAATTTTCTACTTGTCCTAACTTTGGTGTTTCTATGTAAAATGCAGAACTGTCTATCCTTAGAGCTGTGGGTGGAGTTACAGTTTGAAGGGACGGCGTTAGGCTGGGCTGGGTCCTGGGTTGAAGCACTTTGAGCAGGTGGTTCCGTGTTTGGTGGCGCCCTGCGGAGAGCCCCAGCGCGGGGCTCTGCAGGCAGGAGCACCACGAGCTCAGCAGGTCTCATCCTTGGGGCACTGCGCTCAGTCCTGGCTACATCGCTGTTTTTTGTATTAGAGAAGCAATGGATAGTTTTGCAGGTATCTTAACTCTCGAGTCCTTAATCAGGTGACAGACAGTACAAACACAAGCTGAAATAGGAGCTCAGACCCACCTTCAGCACGAGGCAGCGCTTGCCCTAGACACAGGGTTGCGCAGAGGACTGCGGCTCTCCCAAACCTGCCACGGGACAGCGGGCATTGCCCTCACGTTCCAATACTGGCGTCCTCGGTGCAGAGAGTGGCTGTCCTCTTAAATTAACTAACTGATCCATTTTAGCAGCTGACAGCAGTTCTGTAATGGTTCTGTGCTATAAAATACCAATGTAAAACTTCAGCATGAAGTATAGAGTATTTTTATTTGTAAATTAAACAACCTCTTAAAAAGTAAAAAGATCCAGATTGTGCCTTTGCTGTTCTGAGTGCCAGCTGTAGTTTACATGCCACTCTGTGCCTATATTGTTAACAAAACCGTTGTGGATAAATTCTTACTGTAGCTGAGTGTTCACCATCAAAATGGTGCAAATCTATTCATGTATTTTAAGAACTGTGACTTTAATGTAAAGTTCAGTGAACCAATTTTTAATTTTGGTTCTTGGAAGTTCAAAACTTTCATATTAAGAGATGCCAAATTGTAGGAACTAAGCACACCTGGTATTTAAATATATGGAATGTCACATGAAGCTAAATAAAACCAGAACAGCACTATGACATATAAATACTCATTTCTACATTCATTTAAAATAGTTTTTTTTTTTTGGCTTAACCAGTATTGAGGGGATGTTAACAGCCCTGGTTCTGCACAGAGGTGGTGTTTGTGTGTGGGGGGTGCCTCTGAAAGGTGGTAAATGCCTCATTTTGCTATAGTGTGGACACAGCAAGGACTGGCTGGGACTCGGGGACAGCCCTGGCTGCACTTGGGAACTCGCTGCAGCTGCATTTCCTTGTAGTCACTGATCATGACTCTCTATACCCAGGTATTAGGGAAGAATCCCAAAAGCCTAATAAGGGCAGGGTCTTTCCTCCAGTTGGAGTGACTGTTTTGTGCAGTGTGTTCACCCCTTCTGCAGTTACTCCAGCACTCTGCCCTTAGAGGACAATGCAGGTGTGGTAAGTTGTGTATCATACCTCTGGGGAAGCGTGAGCTGCTCATGGGCTGTGAAAGGTGGCACAGAAGGGCTTGGAAGAGATGTCCATGCAGTAATTCAGGGGATATGTGCAACAGCAGCACCAGTCTAAGCTAAAAGCCTCAGTTGTCACAGTTGGATTGAGCCTTGAGGAAGGGGGAGAGGAGGGGGCCAGGCAAGAGTAACAACCTTGAGTTCATGAGAGAGTTTTTGTAGGCATCGTTCCTTTGGGTGATACAAAGATCCCTGTAGAAGGTGCCTAAGGGGCACTGAGGAGGTGTTTGAAGCTGCTTTGTCTAATTTACTAAATCTTTGTAACCCACCTGCTCAGAAGTTTTGGTAGAGAAAGGAACTACAGTAAAAGCCAGTTCTTGGGGCAGGGTGAAGGAGGACATGGAGGTACTGACAGCTTCCCAGGGCTGCCAGCAGCAGGGCAGGGCAAGGTGTGTTGGGGAGGAGCCTGTAACCTGCCTTGGCCAGGATGGGGCAGCCCTTGGGTTCCTGGCTCCCTTCAATGCCATGAGGGGCTATGCGCTGCCTGTGACTCACAAAACCCACCTTATTCACAGGCACCTGCAACAGCCCCAGCCGCTGCAGGGCAGCCTGGAGCCTGAGGATGGAAGTCCTGACACTCTTGTCTCCTGCCTTCCCTCTTCCCAAAACAAGGGGAGTCCCAAGAACCCAGTGTTCCCAGGAGCAGACAACCCAATTCAGATGATGATGGCACTGACCTGCACCATTTTGATTTGTAGCATGAGCTGACATTCAGATACACTGAAAATTGCTACTGCCCTCCTGTCCACAGTGCCTGGTCATAATGGAAGGGAGAGAAGGTCCTGAAGGGCATCCTGCTCAACCCTCAGCATGCACCAAAGCAGGGGTAACCTCAGGCTGTGCAAGGGCTGTTGGCCTTTGGGCAGGAGTTCCACAAACCCTCTAGACAATTTCATGTAGTGGGGGACAAACGTCCTTTTGGAGAGGAACAAAAGCCTCACTCCAAGGAGCGGTTTCTTCTCCCAAGCGGCCCTGTCCAAGCACAGCCAAGAGCCCACACAGGAGCTGTAGAGAGCAGTGACATTCCCAGCACTGCGCCCCTGCCTGCCGGGCAGGACAGCCAGCTCCTGCCAGGGCTGCGCTCAGCCCCTCATCCCGGTGACCGTCGCTGGACTCGCTCCCCTCACCTAGAATGGAGGCCGTGCTCCCGCCAGAGCCTCCTGGCAGCCTCCATGCGCACCTGGAGCCACGGCTGCACCCAGGGGCCTCCTCCCCCTTCAGGAAATACAAACCACGCTTCCTGCTATTTACAGATTTATTAGAAATAAAATTATTGGAAAAATAAACCCTGAAATAGTTACACAGGTGGTACATTACAGCACAATGTTAACATCTAACACATCAAAATAAATTTTCATTTTTCTCTTTTAGGCTATGTTAAAACAGCAAGTGCTTTTATTGTAGCTTGAAAGTGCAAAACTTCACTGCATAGCTCATGGGATCTCACCACAGCTTTAGTCTCTCAGGTGGTTCACATTCTCTCACTATTTTTAAGTTGCTGCCTCCCACAACTCATGCTAGGTAACTACCATGACTGTTGTAACCAAAACTTGGTACGGTAGCTTAAAACAATAGTCTGAATTTTGTGTTTAAGTCCAGCACTCTATTTTCCCTTATTCTGTTCTGTATCAGTGCTTTAATATAGTCTTACTCATTGACCCCCCCCAATAGTGTTTATTAATCCAAAAACAATAATCTAGAAACAGTATTTTAATGCATCATTTATCTTGACTCCAATTGTAGTATCTGCAAATTCCATTCCTTTTATCAATGTCATTTCCCAAAAACACCACTAGAGTCCTGAAAACTAAATCCACCTCCCAGTACAGTCTAGGCTGTAGTAGGAGTCAAAAGCTAAGTTAAGCATCAATGTCTCCTCAGAGCAGAAAATGCTCAACGTTGCCTCCTGTATCAGGTGCTTTGGGGGAGAAGATGCAACTTCTACTCCTCAGAGAGCAATAGGGATCCTGACCATCAGCAGATTTTTCCAGTGCTTCTTTTCCACTGTGGGGTGGCTGGTAGCGATGGGAGCAAAGCAGTTGAACAGCCCCCAGGATCAGGACATGTCCGCACTGCATCATTCTGCAGGAACAATCTGTGGGCCCTATCTCCCAGGGTGCAGCAGGACAGAACCTGCCAAGGACAGCACAGAGCAGAGGGGGTAACTTCGGTGAGTGTTGTACCCGCTCATCCTGCTGCACTACTCAACCAGTGCCAGGATTTCATGACACTTTTACTGGATTACTCGGGGGGCAGCATGTGCTGCACAGGGTCACACAGGCAAGATCCAGGGTGCAACTATCTGGCACCCAGCACACAGTCTTCTCACAAGTGTCTCAGCCACTGGGAATGCTCTCATGACTAAAAACACTGTAATATTCTCACCACGGGGGATCCTTTCGGTGCTGACCTGAAGAGCAGAATTTTGCACGTGGTCACAGCCCAGCAGAACATTTTCCATTTCCAAGGCTGGATGGCCTCTGGTTGCGTTCATTAAAACCTAGTGCAATGTTTTGACAAAGTTAAGATTTAGGCTGAAGTATACGATATTCTCAGTAATAAGAAACTGTCTGAGAAAGTATTTCTGTAACTGGAGTGCAGCCAATAGCAAAAAGCACACAGCAAACTCTAAATACTCACAGGTGGATGGATCAGGAGCTGGGAGGTGCTTAGGACTCTCTAAATAGCATCACCAAGCAGTTATCTAAAAAACTCTTCTATATTTTAGGTATTTCAGCAGCAAAAAGACCAAGAGAACATTTTAGCTTCAACAGAAATTAAATCAGCCCAGTACACTTCCTCGTGTAACTGAACTACAAGCAGAAGTGCATTCCCAAAGCTGAAGGGGGGGCATGCAGGCTGCAGCCAGCACTGACTTCCCTAAACACTGCTCATCTAAAGGTTGAGAAAGAGCAAACTGAGCAGGGGTGATTTGGTCTGATTTGCCTCACTCTCCCCCAATCTTTTCTGCCTTTTTCTGCAGCGAGGCACATCCCAGCTGCACTCGAAGCCCCTCGCGCTTCATGCTGGCCTTTCCTCGGCTTTGCTGGCAGCGCAGCAGGGACACGCTCCAAGGCAGTGCTTGTATCTCCAAGGAACCCCAGCCGCCCCCTCTTCCCTTCACAGAAAGGGAACGGCATAGGTCAAGGGGAGGAAACCTCTGTGGTTCCTGGAGAATCACCAAACCGCTACCTGCTCAAGACAAATCCAGTTGGA